TAGAAACTATTAATTCTTCTTTTTTGCGTAATATTTATTAAACTACTTAAGCGTTATAATCTACTAACATTTCTTTCTCATGTTAAATTAACAAAACAATGGAAAATGTATTCAATATAAATCATGGGTAAGTAAACAGATTATAGTTTATGAAAAAAAATATTATGGCATTGAAACAAACTGCATTGTCTTATCATTCTGCCAATTATTCGTCAATTTTTTTCAATTAACTAGCTGTCGCCCGTGACCCCGTCCGCGCGGTGTAAAAAAAAAGCTCAATTAGTAGCCTGTGTCCTTCCAGATTATGTTTTTCATCTATGATAAACTTCTGCGTTATCCATGCAACTTTCCGGATATATCTTCTAACATCCATCCATCTAAACATTTGTCTTAATATTATAGTTAGAACTAAGATAACTAAGTACTCAGTATTTAATTAAAAACTCAAAGGCACATACATGTTTGATACCCTTATAATATTTCTGAAAAAAATGGACATTAATGGAAAAGTCACAATACAAAATATCAACCGAAATATAAAGTAGTGTATGAGCATTAATATGCCTTAATAAGGAAATTTAACGCATAGTTAACTCTGGCTTTGAATGTACAATGAAGACATCCGATCAATAATTGGGTTTCCGACAAAGCTACTTCGTAAGATGTATATTAAAGTCACACATTATAGTAAACAGCATAATATATTAAACAATGTTAATATTATAAAATATAAATATTACTTATACTAAGTTACAATATTCTTGACGGTTTGAACGAACCAGTCTTCTGTTGCGTTGTAAGCATCCTTGATTGAGTCCCATAAATCGCCGAAAAAACGTCTAGGCGGTTCTTCAGTTACATTGCTTTGTAAATCATAATTATTTATCGCTGCTATAGATGTTATCAAAACTGCTATGGACACCTGGTAAAAAAACAAGAGGGGCCACTGGGTTAAAAGGGGTTTTGACAGACAGACGAACGGACAACAAAGTGATACGGAACGAAGTGGTACGGATCCCTAAAAATGTACGGATCATACACCTTTGCTCATGTCCACTGTATCCCTTTACTATATTTACTTATTTATTTAAATCTAGATGTGGCCCGCGACTCAGTCCGCGCGGATTAAAAAAATAAGAACATAATAGTAGCCTATGTCATCTTCTAGTTCTATTTATTTTTTATTTTGATTTTTTGTCCTTAGATTTATATCTCTAGATGGAGTTTTGAAGTAAAAAAAGTGAGGTACCTTTATTGAAAATTTGATATGAGTAACCTTCCCTAAAGAACTGTTTTTATAACCATTTAAAGGGTGTGGAACAAAGTGTAAGATTTAAAAACAACACTCTCTTACCAAGTATAGAAACCTTAATATCCTCCCAGTGGTATCCATTTTCTGATTCGTTTCAATTTACGAACGCATGTGAAAGAATTACGGCAATCCAAAATGTCCACTTTCCCTGCTGTTTCAATTATCCGTTAACATTAGTTATACGATTTTAATTAAAAATCTTATTATGATAAACCAACTACCAAATCAACTAGCTTTCTATGTTAAGACTTTGTTTTAAAATCCTTTAATGTTAGTTACTATTTAATGTGTATCTTATAAATGCGAATGTTTGTATGGGTGGATGGATGTTTGTTTGAAGGCATCTCCAGCATCTGCATGGATATGACTAAAATTGGGCATAGATGTAGAATAATTTTCCATAGTCTGTAGATACCCTTAGTCTAATTATTAGTTTTTTTTTTAGTTCCGCGCCGACGCAGTGGCGTGCGACAGGTAATTTTAAATAAATAAAAACACAATTTTCATGAATTAACATTCGGTTTGTTTTTAATAAACATATACTGAAGAGTTAACATTTATACAATACATAAAAATATTAACGATGTAAAAAAAGGAACACGTAAAACGCCTTGTTGTAACCTGACTCACATAACCCAAGGCTTGAGGTAACAATCAATCAATTAAAATAACTAAATTGACTCAAATGGTAGCAGTACTATTTACAGAAATAAATTAAATAAATATTAAACTAATTTAAGACTATAATTTCCTAATTTTGTGATAAATACTATGGTATAAATGGATTTATTTCATAAAGCAATGAGTTGAGTCTTTTCCATTTCGTCGTAATCCATTCTTCGGTGGCTCTATATTTGTCCGATACTGTGTTCCATGTGTCAACTGAAAATCTTGAAATTAAATATATTTTATTTACCCTCAAATTGTTTCGAGAAATATTACACTCCTAATGGACGGAATTCACTTAACTTTACAATGGTTCCCCTTAATTTTTGCGTGACCCAATCACCGGCGTCGTAGTAACGCTTCTCTATTTTACGAGTCAAAGAATTCCAAGCATCGCTGAAGCCGTCCTTGACGGAGTTGAACGAGTCCGTGAGGCTCTGGTACAAAGGGGGCCGGGCGAAGGTGAACGGCATCAGAAATATCATCTGAGAAAAATATACATCTTTACTAATAACTACGACAATCTAATAATAAAAATGGAAGGAATAAATAGCTGTACATTTTAAATTTTAGAAAATAAATATATCGACTAATATTAACCCTATGACACTCTGGAGAAGAATACGAATTGAATGACACCTCACTTGTCAAAATCGGAACTTACATACTCCATGTGACCAAAACTTACGTACGCGCGAATAACGTCATATCCGAATGTTTCACTCGGGTAAAAATAGATAGAAGAAGCACTTATATGGAACAACTCAAACAGAAAGTAGATGATTCACATCAAGAAGCCAAGAGAATGGCGCAGGAAAGACCTCATTGGAAGTTGCTCAAAAAAGGATAATATTTTCCTTAGATTAAGATGATGTCAAATAACTAATGAATGCATGAATATTAAATTGAAGTCGGTAGCACTGAGTGTATCAGATTACCCCTCGTTCCAAATGTAAGCCCCAGTTCTCTCTATTACACAATTTCACGACACTCGTTTAAAATATGAAATAACAATTTGGTAAGAGGGGTTTTTAATTTACAAGATTTGGACATTCATTTTGAATGGATTATAATATATTTATCATATTTATGTCACATACTGAGGTTCTATCACTTGCAAGATCCTGCGATTGTATGTTTTAATAATAGCATAACTAATTATGCACTAAAATAACACTTATTCACAAATTGCACACTTCTTCAATAAAAATCCATTACCTACCGTATACAATAATACATATTGCAACTTCATTTTAATTAGCGTATAGCACACGTGCTTTGATAATGGAGTTATGAAAATAATGTGACTGTCCAAGTAATAGAGTTGTGTGATTTATAAAAGTGGCACGTCTAAACGCATGCCGTATCAAAGATGCTGTGAAAACTAAGATAAATCACACAAGTTTACATAAGAAATAAATGAAAATATTATAATGCTTTTAAATGCGAATTCTCATATCGTATCTAAATATAGACAAAAACATTCGCTGAGAAAGAAAAAGAAATAAACCAAAACAAAACATTTTCTAATCATTTTCATACTGGATTCTAAAGACTGTTAAAATTGAATCGATTAAATAAACTCCGAAATGGATCAATTATGCAATCTGTATGTATAAAAATCAATTGCTGTTCGTTAGTCTCGCTAAAATTCGAGAATGGCTGAACGGATTATTCTTATCTTGGTATTGAAATGTTCGTGGAGGTCTGGGGAAGGTTTAAAAGTTGAGAAAAATTCGAATAATTTCCGGAAACTAGTTAGGTTTTCATTCCACGTGGATTCGCGGGCGACATAGCTGTGGTGTGGTAGTGTAATAAAAGATTAATTTCAATAAACTTGACAAGCTGTACAACTTAATGGTTATTTAATTAAATGAACGTATATACGTAGTAACGTATACGTAACATATGCTTCTTATTATAATTCCATATCAATTTGAACAAGATGAATATAATCCTTTAAAAATAAGCTAAAAAAAGGTCTGAAGAATTCACCTTTCTGTTTTCATTACATTTACTTTAGCACTTTTGTTTCCGTTTCCTAAAACCATATCTGATAATACGAACAATAAAAACAGCTATACATTTAAATACAAATTGTTCTCTTTTATTTGTTCTACCTAATGTTAAACGAAATAAAAATAATGTTGATTAAGGAAATTAAAATTCTAATGTCTATGATAAGTGGATGGGTACCCCTATATATTTGGTAAAATCTTTCATTTTAAATACAAAATTATCATCATGGCTTTAAAGGTAAATATACACGTACTATATTACGCTCACATACACGGACTGGTTCAAGCAGCTTCGCACGCATTACGCGATTAGCTGTTAACCATACACGGATCACCGTTCGCAGTCACCTTTGATTTGCTAAAATATTAATTAATTTTGTTTACAGCTGACTTTATTCACTATACTTCTTGCGTTCTACTTCTTTGAAATCATGCAACAAACAACAGCAACGAAAACAGAAAAAGAGAATACAGGCACGACGACACCGGCATCGAGCACAACCACTTCGGACTCAGAGGATGGCAGCTCAAAACCTGTCAGCTCAAAACCGCAAAAAGGCCAAGGAAATGAACTGAATAAAGTCAATGCTTTGCTTAAGAAGAGGTTAAATTCTTTAGCATCAAAACTGGGTTTGACTTGCCAGTGAGGGTAAAAAAAACTACTGTTGCCCATAATGATTTATAAATAAATACAATTCATTACTATTTCTTTGTTTTTACTATTTTTTCTAAATAATAATCCCAAATTTCCTAAATCACAAATATCAAAGTACTAAATTGTCTAATCTCATATCATTGCTCTTTAATGATTCTTACTCATCATCAACCTGCCCTTTTACTTACGGGGTTCGGCACAGCATGACTACTCATGCACATCTATCAGCCGTCATATCTGAATTGTTTTTTTTATTTTATTTTTAAATAAATATTAGCAGATTTTTGTTAATTTACTAATACTTCTTGTACCATTCCAAGTAATCTCTAGGCTTGTGGTAGGATATGGTTACGACAATAGTTGAATGTCGGGATTCGAACCTCCGACCTCGTGATCGGTAATCCGTACCCTAAAATTCACTCCTTCACTCCCTTCTTACGCATAACCTTCTTCACACAATACATCCACACTTTTTTCGATCTTCCTCTACCTCCACATACAATCTCATCATTGTATCACTTACATATGTATCTTTACTGATTATTAATGAATTTACTTTTAAAAAAATATTTGTCAAATTCTAGAATATTCCCTTTTATTTCCAAAAGTCTTATCCAATAAATTGATACTTCAATACCATAAGGATATGAATTTCCGCCTTAATTTACTCTTTTATACGCTAACGTTATACCGTGTCTCAGATAAAGTTCGTATAAAAAGATATTTCTGTAATATTTTTTCAAAAAAAAAACTTCCAGAACCTCAACAAGATGGCGTATTCGGTAAGAGAATTTAATAATAATGTAAAAAGGAACCGAACTTTAAGCAGTATCGAAGGAATTTACTATGTAAAAACTACTTATAGAAAAAATAAAGCACTAACGCACGTGTAGATCCAGCATTTAGTAATCATGCGGAGAATGAATGACAAAATTACAAAGCACCTATCCAATCTTTCTTTCGCCCATACACTATTTAGATGCTGAAATTGTGTAGTCCGATAGTATCATCATTATCATCAGCTCATTATACGTCTCCACCGAGGGGCTCGGAGCCTACTTATGTTAAGGGTGATTAGGCCATAGTCAACCACGCTAGCCAAGTGTGGGTTGGTTGACTTAACACACATCTTTGAATTTCTTCTCAGATATGTGCAGGTTGCACCACGTCGTTTTCCCTCACCGTAAGAACGTCGGATAAATGTAGATATGCAAATCGGAAATCGAAAAACACATTGGTACATGGCTGGGTTCGAACCCAGGACCTGCAGATTGCAAGTCAAGTGCTTGACCCCTGAGCCACCGACGCTCTCCGATAGTATCGTATAAGACAATTTCTGCAGTTAACATAATAAATAATGAAAACAATAAATAATTTAACTTTATATTTCAGGCAAAATTTGTTGGAGTTATATTAGCGCTGTTGTTGTTGGACTTCATTTCGGCGATGCCTGGAGTGAGGGAAGTGCGTCAAGCATCAGAAGCACCACCAAAAGAGGCCGGTGGCGAAGGAGAATCAAATCCACTAATCTCAATAACTAATCTTTTGAGTCCATCTCAGTTTGCTCAATTACTTTTAGCAGCACTAACCAAACCGGGCACTTTAATGAAAGCAAGATAAACTTCTTGAAAATCTCTTCCGTTATCTTCGATATAAAATTATGTGCTGTTATTTTTCAATCTATGTAACCTTATGTACCCTTGTGTTAATTAAATAAATGCTGTTTCAATATGACTACTTTTTAAATTGTTATCCATGCTGTGCATAAAAGGGAATTGACGGAAGAGAGGACAAATTATAATAGGTCATAATCCTGTTTCTGTGTGTCCGCTCCTCCGAATGATCTTCCTACGAATGCCTATGTGCAGTAGCTGCCGCTATTTTAGCGAATTCAGGTGGTTACTTACTCGTTTGCCACCTTATGATAAAAGTAAAAAATTATAGTGGAAAATATAATTTATTATAATACGAGAATGATGGTAAAATTGACGAAAATATATTGTAGTTTTCTCGTAGACAGATGAATATCTTATTGTATGGTAAAATAACTCATACATTCAACACTTTAAATGCATAGAGATAAAGTTAGAGTGACTGTATGTAATCTATATATATATAAAATTCTTCTGTGAGTGTGTATGTCACTGAACTTCTCTCAAACGACTGGACCGATTTTGATGAAATTTTTTGTGTGTGTTCAAGGGTATCTGGGAATGGTTTAGATTCTCAATTTTCATCAAATATCAACTTCATATTAATTTATTCAAATTAAAGACGTGTAGACAGGACAACGTCTGTCGGGTCCGCCAGTATACTAATAAAAATTTCATATTTCATGCATATATTCTCATTTAGTTCACGCTTATTTTACGTAATTACAGCAACAACTGGTCCGATTTTGTGGGGAATTTTAATGAAAAGCAATTTATGCGTGTGGAATTAATATAGGCTAATACTTTTTTTAATTTCACGATGGCAAAGTTGCGGACAACAACTATAAACTTATTGTGTGAGACTTTCTTGTAGACTTTTTTCACTCCAACTTAATAGTCTCTACTGAAACATAGGAAACGACACTTTTCTAAAAATTTCGTGGGATGGATACATTACTGTATTGCGACATTATGGTACTATTTTTTTATTAAATTTGTAGGCTAACGACCTCATATCACTTAAATTTGCTTCGTTAAATTTATTTTATCATCCATGAGTTATAAATCAATTAACTTAATTACATTTGTAGCAGTAATAGGAAAACATAAACAAAGCAATAAACATGATCGAAAATGCTGAACTAACCTAACCTAACCATTTAGTTGGGGAATGACTAAAGTGCCTAAAGGCTAAGGACATAGATTCCAGTGCTGGTAGGCACTATACCACAAAAAGCGGAGTATAGAGTTTTGCAAAGCGTCGGCCCTCCAAGCCATAAATAGAAATAAGAGCTAAATTAGCATTGTATCACATTCGTAGTATAAGTATTTATTTGTTTTTAAAATTGCCCTATTGCATTAATTTTAGTATTTTTTAATTTTATTGTTTTATTGTATCTTATTGGTTTTTAAAATGTACATATTAATTTTATTATTTTATCGAATTTTTTTAAATTGTACATAGATATTATTTTAACTTTTTTAATTTTACATTTTTTAATTGTTTTATTCTTTTTAACCGTTAGTAAGTAAGCAAAAAACGAATGTGATAGTAATTTAAGTTTTAATGTAATTGGTTTTTGAACATTTAAAATAAAGAAATTCCCGCACCCCAAGTCCCTGACATAGACTACGTTACCCCTGACGAGAGGGTGGCATAGAGCCACTCAATAAAAAAAATGCGGAATAAAAGAAAAAATCTAACAATGTACTAATTTTAGAAAATACGAGACGAGAACTTACCGTTGGATAAAAGTTAAAAGATGTCCATTAAAAGTGTCCATTATTATTTAAAATAAATATTATTCGGACCGTATAGAAAATATATTGGCAACGGCATTCTTACACTGTCATAATGTATTTTTATCATTCTAGTTTAAAATTTAATTCATATTTGCTAAAATTAACTGTGATTTCCTTTGCAGAAACATCCTCGTTGTAATCCATTCTTTTTTTGGGTTCCGTAACTCGAAATGAGAAAAACGGAAGCCTTAAAGGATCACATTGTTGTCTGTCCGTCACGACCCTTTTTTCCAGGAAAGCGTGAAGGAATTTATTTAATTAGAGTAATAACAGTTTATGTGTCCAGAGTGTTTGGCAATGGATACGTGGTAAAAATCATCGATTACAAAAACAGGTTCTAAAGAACCTTAACCCTCTAGAGCAGTCTTTCCCAAAGTGGGCGATGCAGGTCTCAAGTTGCGGGTTATAGTAAAAGTTTAGTTTAGAATTCTCCGTTAATATACATATATAGGTCACAAGTATTAATTAATTTTATTTGAAGTTATAGTGGTTTTTAAATATAATATGTGAAAATATGGGGCGCAAAAAAAAATATATTCTCAAAGTGGGCAGTAGACAAAATAAGTTTGGGAACCACTGCTCTAGAGCAACTAAAAATAACAGTGGTATAGCACGAATACTTATGACAATCACGTTCGTATCGTCATCAATAATGTTATAATTATTATGAGATTTTCGGTTTGATACACTGCACAAATCTTAATACAATTTTGTCGATGACGATACGATGGCGATTGCCACAAGTATTCGAGCTAGGCCCCCGAATTCTAATTTGAAGTACTTTTTTAAAGGAAATAAATAGATGAGTTAAAATTTAAAAAGCCTAAATCATTATCGGTTATTGGAAGAAGAAAAACTCAGCCGCTTCTATAAAATTGACATCACAAAAAGTTGATTATTTGTAAAAGGTCTCTATATAATAAATAAACAAATAAGTCTTTATCAAAATGACTTATGGATACTGCAAAAGCAATTTCCTAAAGCATTTGCTTTTCCGCAAAGGCAACAATTAGTCAGTTTATTTGATATGGATTTCGTATATAAGTAAAATGATTTACAACGCCACCATACAATCAATCTTCATATTATTTACAGTCATGTTGAATGTAAGTTTAAAATATTAGCAAATAATGCTATATGTAACTATACGTTTCTGGTTGATTTTCTTGTAATAAATTCAATTTGTCGATGATTTAAATCTTTAGATTTTATTAAAAAACTTTGATAACAAAACTACTATTTTCTGTACTTTCACGGTATTTAACCAATAATACAAAACTAAAGTATTTTAGTAAGTTTTTCTTTTAAAGCGGCATTATCGAAACCCCTTTCTTGGAGTACGACAGGATGATTCGAAACTATGAAAATATTTTCTTGGTTCTTTTTCTTAGTGTAGAATTGTATAAGAATTTTTCTTGTTAAAAAATTGTTTTTTTTTTCAGATTCGAATTGCTACAATGATAATGCTTTTCTTCCTAATTGAAGCATTGTCTGCTAATTCCATTGATCGGGAACGTCGGCAAATTCCAGATCTACCGATTGGCGGACTCACTAGTGCTGTCCCAGGCGCCGGCAACTTACTAGGACCTGTAGCTGGTCTGGCGAGTGGTGGATTGGACCCTTCTAAATTTACCGATTTTTTTTCAAATTTCTTCAAAAAACCGTAGTGAAACTCCTCCTGCTACGGTATAATTAGGACTGCTACAATAGAAAAATCGATATCAACGAACTATGGCATATTATGATCGTCTTATACTAAGTTTATAAATAAAGATTTATTTTTGCATTTCAAAATCGTACTTTATTTTCTGCATTTGAGTTTTTAGAGCGTCAAATATCTTATAAAATTTGCACGATGTGAAAAATTTATGTTACCGTAAAGGGCGAGATAAGATGACATCCTTAAAAGTCGGGTAATGAAGGTTTATCACTCGTTTTAATTAATGATTTTTCCATATAAATGAATGATAAAAGTACATTTTTTTATTCGCCTTCTCGGAAAAATATATACAATGGTGCAAAAGGTAAGTTATTGAAATATAAATAAAAAAACTTTAAAAACTTAGCTAAAATTACCAAAGTGACTTATTTTAGGAAAATAAAATAGATAACATATTTTAAAATGCATGTGTAGGAACATATTTTTTAATATGTTTATAAGTGAAGTGATGTGGTTGGTATAAAATTATTCTATTTATTTCAATGTCTTAAATAACTTTTCGGTTGATACGGAAGTCATGTGAAATCTTCATACTAGGTTAAAAGAAAATAAGTTAATATAACTAGACTTTAAATAATGTATGTTTTGTTGTTTTAGGTCATACACATCATTTTACTTGCCTGTTACTTAGACATTATATGGTCTGCACCACAGGAACAGCCTTCGTTAGATAATGAATTAAATTTAAATCAAAATGTATCTTCCGAAAACAATATAGTAGCTACCGATGGATCGGGCGTGTTTAACGTCGGAAATTTCGTTTATAATAATATTACAAACACGAACAAACAAGGACTACTAACAGGAATTGTGAATTCTCTTCCTTTGCCGAACCTACTTAAGTAAGAAAATTATAACATTGTGTTGATGGTCCCAATGTAGTTATTGTTGAAAATCTAAGAATAGATTCGTTGAATTGTAATTTTTAATATATTAATTGACCATTAATGACACCTTAATTTCTAAATGTAATAAATATAAAATTACAAGCCGTTAAGAGAACAGGAACAACCACATTTGTAAAGGGCAACACTGAGATCACTTAAAATCGAATACCATGTTCAAATGTGTAGATGTGCCGGGACCGTGCAGACATACATTTCTAAGTTATGAATGTTAATGTACAGTCAACTACAAAATAATTGTATACATCTACAAAACTGTAGAAATATGTATGCGCCTTCGGTTTTGGATACATATATTTCAAACCAGGGGGAGTCCTAGGCTACGCGGTAAGCCAGTGCTGGTGTGAGGGTCGGTCTAATTCTCCGTCTCTGAATATGTCGTCGTTATCAATGTCGTCATGTATGGGTATCATATTGAAATGGAATAAAATAAAACCAAAGGCATTTACGAGTTTCTAGAGGTTTGTAAATTGTATACATAATAATGCATCTGACTGTACATTAATGCCCTATAGTATTAGTCCAATGTAAGTAATGTCAATAATTAGATTTAAATAATTTGTTTTCAATAAATTTCTTCTCATTGTTTTAGATGATGTTCATCATACTCCTCGTGTACCTGTTAGACATTTTGTATTCAAAACCTCAAGAATCTAATGTAATACATAGCCAATCGATTACTACTATTGTTAGAACTACAGCTAACGGTACAATTATTACCGAAGTTATCAACGGACCTGTTTCGAGTGTATCTCCCAATTTTAGAGTAAATTCTTCTAATAAAGTTTACAGATCATTCTTTTTCAGGCAACCTCGATAGCAACATGATTTCGAAATACAATTTTATTTATTTAATTTTGAAATAAAATTAAATACACTTTTTGGTTATGTTTTATTTTATAAATTACGAGCTCTCGAGCTCGACTCAGTCGGCGCGGAATTGGAAAAATCTTAATAAGTTCATATCTATTCTTCCAGACTATGTTCTTCATGTGTGCCAAATATGATTAAAATCCGTTTAGCCGTTCCGGAGATATTTTGAAAACAAACATCTATCCATCCTTCCATCCATCTAAAGTATATGGTAGTAATTTTTACAATACTTAATTTGTCATCAAAACCTTTCCAGTGACTTAAAGGGTTTAGTAAGACATTTTAAGGACGGTGTAAGGGCCAGAGGTGGCGTTCATGAGGTCATTTTCACTACACGTGGACAAATAATAATTCGGTTGATAGATTTATTATCCGTCTATTATATGACCATTATTTTCACAGAGACAATATTTTTCACAGATATATTTTTAAGCAACTCTAATATCCATATTAACTTTAATGTTGGCTTTAACTTTTAACAACCATTTTCATTGGGGAAATCGTTTTACTACTTGTTTGTCAACTCTATCAAAATTTCGATATAAATACCTGTTTCGTATACATTGTCACAAGATTAAAACTAAATTTTCTTAGAACATACTTCTATTTAAAGCAAGATGACGTCTCCTATGGTAAATTTTGACTATAGACGCTATGATTAGAGATGTAGAGTAGCGCAATGAATAGTAGTACAACTAGGCAATGTCATAATTATTATTCTATAAATTATGTCATAATTTGCCGGCCCTCGTTGGGATATTATTCGTTTTTTGGACAAATTGACTGATGATTGATGACTTTTGAGGAATAATTGTTAGCAAATTGCAACCTGTTGATATTTACATTTTACTGAACAGTTTTTTTAATGTCTTATTTAATTATGTTTATTTTTTACAGTTTAAATTCACGGTAATCATATTTGCTTTGTATATGATTGAATCATTATATGCTATCTCACCTGATAGAATTCGGCGGGAAACTGATAGTAACCTACAAGATGGCGGAACTGAAGAAACTAAACCAGACGTAACCCTGTTTTTCAAGGAGTTTTTTACAAAAATTGATTTCGCAAAAATATTTGGAAACTTAAAAATTACATACAAGCCTTAATACGAATGCTTTTTTATATCTTCTGTAATATAAATAAAAAATAAATCATATTTGTATAATATGTTTGTTTATTAAGAGTTCCTAAGCCATTAATTTGATCATTATAATAATACGTGTAATACAAAAATTTGTACTCCTTTTTAAATATTGTACGAACGAAGGGATATGTAATTGATTGGGAGAAGAAGTGCATAAAGCTATTTAAAAAAAAATCTTTGGTCATGAATTATGGCCGAAATATGACCAATTGATAAAGGTAACTTATAACCGCTACCGTTACCGGAGTAACTGATATTGTTAAATGCTAAAATGTCGTGAATGTGGGTTTTCGTAATCTTGTGGACTGAATATTGTATATCTGAATATCGGTGCCCACGATACAGGCATTGCCTAGTGTGGGCATCACTAGATTACCCAACCATAAATGGTAACTTAAGTTAATTTTAATTTCTCAGTTATGTGCAATTTTTATGTTAGTTATTGTTTCTTGGTTTAATTTTTATTACCTATAATATAATAAAAACTTTTCTTCCTTTATGTGATGGGGTCTTCATGAAACTCGCGATGATTTCGATTTCAAAAAAATATTTACATGTATCACTTTTATTTAGAACCATTCTAATAATTCACTGGCTCGTCTTTTTAACAAAAATAAAGCCTATTTTTGTTACCATCTAAAACTAATTAGCCATTTCATTTCTAGTATTCCATATCATTATGTAAAATATGTAACAATTACCTTAAATAAAGCAATTAGAAAACATTAGATATCTTATTTCTAGCTCATTTTAATATTTATAAGCAAAGACTTGGAGGCATAGTTTTATTAATTAACTATATGATATGATAACTCATAAAATTATATTAGATGTAGAGACCAATTATAATTTTATCTTGCATCACTTTTATTAACTAAATTGTAGTAAATTTTGGTATAAACAAATACTTTAGATTAAAATTCACGATCAGTTTACTAAAGGTATATAAATATATCGTGACAAAGTTATGAACCGGTAGCATAGGTGAAACTAAATTATGACAGCTCACTAGCGCCCCCCTGTTAACGTCAAAATGTGTAATTAAGTTCATAGAATGTTAAACAATATTTAAGCAGAGCTTCATTGCAAATGAAATACGTTATTGCAAGGGGTGAAAATGTTACATACACTATTGAATTCAATTTAAAATTTAAAAAATGTATTATATAAATATTATTAAAGAACCCTAATTTCTAGGTAACTTTAGTATAATCTAAAATATTGTCATACAAATTGAGTCTTTACATTCTATTTTACATTTTTTTGCAATATAAATTGGCAGCGTTTAGCATAGACAACGGATACATACCTAGTACATTTTCAAACTTGAATTACTTATAGTATCGGCTATAATTGTGAGTATATTATTTTTCTAGTTTGAATTATGTATTTTTCGATCCAATCTTAGGTAACGCTGTTTTCTTATGCTTGAAACTTTCCAAGACCTACATCTCTAAGACCTTTTTGGCTAACCATGAATTTCCATTGCCGAAATACATTCTATCATCTCTCGTTTTCGGTAAAAAATTCCGTTTATGTATTTCCACAGTTGAAATTCATGACAAACAAGTGAACACGGGCTCGTTTACATAATAGAATGAAGCTTTTATACGAAGCTATAAGTATAAATTTTACGAAGCTTTCATACGAAGCTATACGAATGATAAGTATTTTATGTAAGTGGCAAACCAAGAGGCGGCCACCAGAGTCTCTTGAACTAGAAATGTGAACGCTGCCCAATGGACATATGTTAAATTGAAACAAAAACATCTCAACCTCTACCGGCGTTAGGATACGGCGTTGCTGCGCGATCGCCCAGTGCGCTAGACACAAAGGAGCACCAAGAGTCTGCGAATTAAAGAGTCTCAAACCTAATAACCTCAACCCTAATCCTCCAAGAAATAGTCGAAACGAGCAGGCGCCATAAAAATCTCACCCAGCGCGTTAGAAGTGTTGAAACCACTTAGGCCTCCAACCTTGATATGTAGGATTGAGCCATTTCGTGGGAACATATATGACCTACAAGAAACTTAAAACTAATGTAAATATATTAAATTTCTGTTTTGCAGATGAAGATTGCAGTGGTTGTTCTTCTCGTTTGTTTGATAGGAGGCTCGTTGATTTCGTCTCATCGCGTCTCTCGGCAGGCGCTTGACAAAGAGAGCTTCAGCAAGATCAGTCAATCAATAAGTAAAATAAATATCTCCAAAGTGGACTTCTCAAAATTAAATGGCAAAATATCTTGGCCCAAAAAGTGATTGATAAAAAACTGATAAAACAAGATTTGAAAAAAAAACTGTGTGATTTTATATATTTTTTCTTTATATTAACAAGCATCATAATGTATTATACCGTTTTTTTATTTTATACATAGATATATAACCTATAGATTAATATCTTACCTGGAGCACAAACGTGGGACGAAAAAGGGGATTCCAGAATCAAGAACCTCAAATAAAAAAACTGAAACTATAACTTATCCTGGTCCGACTGTACATATTTTCTATAATTATTACTGAATCTAAAAAGATTGTATAAGGGATACAGAAAGAATCAGAATTTCTGTGTAAATTTTATCCTAATTAAACAATTAGAAATTTACGACATTTTTAACTATAGAACTACGGAAATAGTTTTTCCGCTTGAAGTTACGTAAACACTTTTATTACTTTGTAATAAACTCTATTTGACTTAGTATATATATAGCTCTAATATGTGCAATGTTAGTCACTACTCTGACATCCAATTTTTCAACTTTCCACTTTAAGAAGACTAAACGAAAAATGCAGTCTCCACTAGTAAGTTAAGCAAGAAAATTAAACTTATTTACCTTTCGCTATTTAAATTCACCGTGCATTGTGTTACAAAATAAGCAATTCAAATAAAATTTGTATTTAAATCGCATAATTTTTCGGGTGTTTTCTCAGAATTTTTTTCAAAATTTTCGTTACCATATATATGTCCAGTGATTTAATAACACATAGTACACATAATTTTTTTATGATATGAAATATGACATGTACTTTTTATTATCTTACTATAAATGTGAATGTTTGGATGTATGGATGAATGGAAAGGTGTTATCTCCTGAATGGCTGTATGGATTACACATAGGCTATTGATTAAACTTTTTTTATTTCCGCGCAGACGGAGTCGCGGGTGACCTCTAGTAATGATATAAATATATCTTTTATACATCATCATCATCCTGCTCTTATCCCTATTGAGGGTCGGCACAGTATGTACTACTCCTCCATACATCTCTATCAACCGTCATATCCGAATCTACCAATATTTTTGGTCTTTCTCTACCTTTGTAGCCATCCACATTCAATCTCATTACTTTTTTGATTATATCATGATCATCCCTCCGCATAATATGTCAAAACCACGCTAATCTTTTACTCCTCAATTTCTCGATCCCTAGCGCTACTTTCAAACTTCCTCAAAAATGTGTATATTAGAGGTAGTATGAAAGTAGCGCCAGTGATCGAAAAATTACAGATACATATTTTATTATTTTATACAAATTTTAATACAATAATAATTTGAATACAAAACGATAGGCTGTTACAAGTAATTGCTACTCAAGATATGTATAACACAAAAACTGTGATTTTCAGGTTATGTTGGCAGTGTTTATGCTGGCTTTGTGCATCATTAGCTCAAATGCTGCCACAGCCGTGGATGTATCCCAGGATGTAGGCGATGTCAAACCTGGAGACGATGGTGGTAAAGGGAGCGCTGGATCCTTCAACATACTTGAATTCTTCGAACAAATCAAAACTAAAACTGATATTGCTAAGATATTTGGCACACTTTTTGTGAAGACAAAAGAATAAAACTGTATCTTATTCTTCGTGACACTTTCGATGTTTTGTAAATAACTGTAGTGAAATAAACTAAGTAAATAAAAACATCTAATTCTTTTTTAAACCCGCCAATGATGTCGATGAGTCACACAAAGGACTATGACTATGTCTTATGTCCCCGTAATTGGGCAGAGGGCATCCACAGTGCGCCAATAGCTCGCAAGAACTATTAGTTTTATATTTTAAAAAATTTTAAGTTTCAAACACTGTAATATGCATTTGACACATAGGATGTTACAAAAATCGTTAGAAAGGTATTTAACATAAAATTAGTTAACTTAATATTATATATTGACCTTGGAGAATCAGATTAAAAATTAATATTACTTTTAAAACATCTGTACTATTGGTAATGAAATGCGAGCCAAAGTATATTGTTATATGTTATACGTTGTAGTAAATACATATTTTATAGAATTAAAACTAGTTTAATATTAATTAAGTAAAAATACGAAGGTAATTTACCATTTTTACTTCTACGTACTTTAAATTTTATCAATTAAAAGTACTATTAGTTTAACTGCGTGAAATAATAATATGAACTATCAGACATTGCAAAAGTTATCTACATCATTAGTATGCAAATTATTTTTTGCATTTAACATAGGTATCTATCATTCAAAAGCATTCAAGTATAAAAGGCAAGTCAAGCTTTTTAGACAATTCAAAACTAAATTAAATAACAGACAGTATTGTTATAATACAAAACTAGAATAATGGTAAGTGTATTCAAATCTTTTTATATCGTAATTCTCTTTTTTGATCGTATTTATTTTAAATTCCGAACATATCTGCAATAATTCTACTATTTATTCAAAGCATCGAAGATGCATTGAAACCTTGACCATTTCATCTAGTAACCTCTATAGATGAATACATCATTGCTTGGAAATGACTCGTTCGTTCGAATTAATCCGTTCAAACTCAAACGCATCTGTTGATGTACGAGATAGTTAATTCTATCTCTATTATTACTTGGAATCCTCCCTACTGCTACCAACAGCAACCATTAGCACTAAAATGGCCATTATCAAATAGGCACAAAATTCTAAGATACATTGCCTGTCCATGTATAGAGGTCAGATGTAACATTCCTATAAAAATTAAATGCTACAATGTAAGTGCTATACTGAATCCTCCAGTAGGTTTCCGAGACAAAAATCTCCGTTTAAAACATATTATTTATCTATGTTTTGTCAAAGATAATGACAGTCATGACGATATGTTTATATACGGAGATCTTGGTCTCAGAAACTCACGGTGAATAAGTTGATAATTGGTTAAATATAAAATGTCAAAATTTCTTCCACAGATGAAAACTACCCGAATAATAATGGCGGTTTGTTTTATTGAACTATTATGTACAACTGTATTGGGACGTGGTGTTGCTGCTAGTCTTGTTAGTGGTAATATAACGGCAAATAGTGGATTCAGTCTTAGTTCCGACCCTGATTCTGGGGGCTTTAGCCTATCCAGTCCCAGCATCTTTGATAACGGTGACGGATATAGCATGTTTGATCTTGAAAATCAATCCACTCGAGTGACCGAACGAAGCATATTATCACTAACAAATATGAGCCAAATATTCGATCGATTGTTTGGTAGACCTGGTAAATGATTTTATAACTTTGTGTGTTGAAATAAACAATATTGTAATTTGATGTTTTGTTTTTATTTTCACCCCAAATGTTAATGGTTAGCCACCGATCTTAAAGATGATCTAGCTTCAACTGAATATTATTTCCCTTTCTATTATATTTTGTTTCTATTCAAAGCCCAAATTAAAGGCACATCAAATTCCATACATGACGGTCATTACGACATTTGACTTTTTAGTTGATTTTGGGTAATTGTAAAATAAAGTGATATTGTAAAAAAAAAAGTTACTTATCTTACTATTATAAGTGCGAATGTTTAGATGGATGGATATTTATTTGAAGGTATCTCCAGAACTGCTGTGTCGATCTCGCTGAAATTTGTATCGACTCCTAGAGTATAGTTTGGAAGAACACATTGGCTACTAAGTTTTTTGATTCCGCGAGAACGGAGTTGCGGGCGACAGCTAGTTAGATAATATTTTTCAATTGTTCAATTAAATATGATTACAAAACAAATAAATGACTAATAAATAACAAAGTAATTGACTTAGGTTTGTTACCTACCACCTAAACTATAATATTGACGTAGGTCGACGAACCTTAAATTAACTGCTACGTTATCCTTAAACTAAAATTGTCACTTTACGGTGTTAAAGTTTTTATTACATTGTTAACATGGACATTGTTTAATTGTAACTATAAAACTTTATCGAATTGCAGCAGATACGAAATTTTGTATAAATACCTGTAATATATGAGGCATTATAACATTACAGATATATCTTAACTAGAAAACACATCGAGAAATACAACAAAATGTCGTCTACAACGGTAAGATAGCATTAGTTAACAAATACAACAACTGATAATTTTTGTTTTTCGTTATTCCTATACACAGTTTCTACAACACGATGGAAATTTTAAAGCTTTCATAATTTATAACTAAGTTTACTTATTCGGCACTATAAGTACGTTTTAGTTAATTACAATAATTAGTTTAATCAAGCTTTTTTAAATCTTGCACAAGACGCAATTTAAACTTAATATTATAATACTAATTTAAGCGTTGATTTACAGGTTAAATTTGCAGTATTCCTAATTGCCCTTTGTTTAATTGAATCGCTAAACGCTGCAGCGACACGCACAAGGAACGTCCGAGACGTGGAAAATTCTGAGGACTCAGAAGCTACTGCGATAAAGCCAAGAGGTGCAGGAGCTGGTTCATTCGATATCACAGAGTTCTTCAAAGACTTCAAATCTAAAGCAGACATCGCAAAAATATTCGGCGGACTTATATTGAAATCAAAAGGCGGCGATAGTCCATTGAAACTGTAATTCTAACATAATACCTAAAATAACGTTAATGTAAAGAAATAATAAAAATTCAAAGCATTAATTCTTTTGTTTTCTTAACTTTCACTTTCTTTTTACCAAAATGTGACAGTAAATGATAATTTAATTAACAATTCACTTCTTTTTGATAATCTTTTAAAATCACAGCATAAATACTTTATTTATTCTACTGGGGTGGACAGAAATATCATTTAAAAGGTGAGGATTACCTCGTTACAAATGCAACCGTTTGTCCCAAAAAATAATAATAAATACACGTCCACATATAACTTAAACTAATTTAGTAATCATGTGTCGAATTATACTCAATATAATTAATTTTCTGTATAGTCTTTGTAACCCAATGCAACATAACAATACAGACACACAGAAACCTTATATTTGACTATCCGTACCTATATTATAAATGCGAAAGCAACCCTGCCTGTCTGTCTGTTGGTCTGTACTTTCACGCATAAACTACTGGACTAATTTAAATGTAATTTGGTACAGATAATCTAAAACCTTTTCTGTTCTGTTTTACATATATCATTGATGGTCGGCTGTGTGTGCGGTCACTTGAATATTTGTAACGAAAATAAATAATAATATGCCTTGCTATAATTTACATAAATTTACCTAAAAATAAAATTGGAGTGTCTTTAATATTGAAGTAACCGTTTTTTACAACATGTATACGAATATATACGGTATTTACACCACAATAACAATTTTTACAATTTTTGTCTGTCTGTCCGTTTGTTCCGGCTAATCTTTGAAATGGCTGGACAGGTTTTGACGTGATTTGTATTTACAGGTAGCTAATGTTATAAGGTAATCCTTCAGTTACTACTTAGACTACGTTTATTTCAGAAAAAACATTTTATTTTATTATATAAAAATAGTGATGTCCTCTTTCCCTTCCGACTCTTTTCCTTATAAGGAAAGGATGGGGAGTGGAAGTGGACTTTCCGGATGACAGGATGCATGGGAAGGGAAAATATTTTCTTTCTGTGCATCCTCTCCTTCGTCGATTAAAGGTAGGTAACGCATTTGCAATTGCTTATGTCTATGGGCAACGGTCACTTCGCTTTTTCAGCGATTTCAGGTGGCCGCTCGCTCGTTTGCCACCTTATGATATAAAAAAAATGCTACAATGGCCAGTACCGCGCGCAGCTCAGACAGTATTTCACTCGGGCGAAGTCGCGGTGACAGCTAGTTTTTTTCATTCGCTTTAGTTCAGTGTTGCCATTTTATTATTAAATACTAAATTGGTAAATACTAACTGACTATTTTATTTTTGAATTTGTATTGTTATCTGTATTATGGTCATTAACAGAATAGTTTGCTCGTTATTGTAATATTGAAAACGGGGCAGTCCCGGCGGTGTGTGTGGCGGTTTTTATTATTAACTGTTTCGAAGTACACTCGTTGAAAAAGGATTTGTAGCTGTATTTAAGGAAAATAGTTTATAGTCTTTTTTATCTGAGGATTATCATCCCCTTACGACTGCATATGATGATTCATATATCTTTATAATTAAGACGGAAAAATATTATTATACTTAAAAAAAATCAAATTAATTGTTCTATTTAGCAAAAGTATTGTAAATGCTAAAAATAATCTTTGAATGTATATTTTATTTATGATATTGATATAAACAGAAAAAATTGGGTGTTTAAAAAACAACGAAAATGTTTGAAGATTGACTTTAATTTTTTTTATTCAATTCTTTTATAACAGCTGTAATAATTACTTAATCGATACATATCAAGGATCAAAAATGTCTTTCAGAACATTGTAAAACACTTGGAAGGGATCATAATCTTTGAAGCCATCGAATTTTTCAATCCCCTCATTGTTTGTTGCATTTTCATTCGGTTCTGCGTTGGAGCCGTCTTTTTCTAACACTGCCTCTTCACCGTCACGTTTTGTTCTATTGTGTGCACAGTTTATGGAGTTGACAAAGTAAACAATGAACAATACGCTAATTAAGAGTGCCTGAAACCAAAGAGTTATCTCAAATTAAGTGTAAATTATATTCGATACTATTTTTAGTCAGTTTTGAAGGATCGTCGCACAAATATAAAATGAATGTAAAGCTTTATAATATTATAAAGATTAATAATATTTGGAATTTTTGTGATAGAGCTAAAATATATTTGTGGTACCATAAAATAGAATAGAACTCTTCAATAACAGAAGTTAATAATAATATAAAAAATATTTAGAAAGTTATGTTTTCTTTTTAATCTATACAAAAACGTAACGAAACTTTTATAAATATTTGAAATAAAAATCAATAGTATTTACCTTCGCCATTATTGTGATTAGCTTTTCAATTGACGTTAAGACATTCTGACTTATCTTTATATTGGTTTGTGTATACCATTATCCTCACATACGATCGTAATAGTCCGGATATGAACCAAATGTAATTTTTATTGCTACACGAAAGTCGACGCTTTATCTCTTTTTATTAGCCACTATCACTTAATGTGTTCAGGATATTTTGAGTTACGAGGGTTGATTACCCCACTTTTACATATATTTATTTTCTGAATTACTAACAATAATCTTATTTAATGTGTTACTTAGTATTTAAGGTAAGACACTTTACAAAATTACGTGAAGTACTTCTTTTTAAGGAAATTTCCCGTAAAAGCGAATGGGTAATTTGATACAGTTATAGTCAAGGTCAAGCTATTCATAATTTTAAAATAATTCTTTGATTATCAATTACGCTCGATTTAACTAATACGCGACCTCTAGTAAGATTTAATTAGTTGAAAAGATTAAGGATATTATCGAAATATTTAGTAATAATTTACTTTTAAATTAAAGTGTTAAGCATATAAAGGGTATAAATAGAGGCTAATCAGTTGTTACAGCGCAACTTGTATTTCTTATCTGTTACCATGAAGTTCAAGGTAGGCTTTAAATTCGAAATTTAAAATTTCTACGTCATAATTTGGTAAACTAGGAATGACTGTTTTACTGCCACTTATCGTAGGTTTCTGACCCTTAAAATTCCCGTTTAAAACTTATTATTATTTCCGTTAAATCAAATATCAAAGACATGGACCACGATATGTTTTATACAGAGATTTTAGTGTCAACAACCGAAAGTGATAATTAGATGAGATCCCTAGTTTATATTTTGTATGAAAATATGATGTTTAGGAACTATTAAATGACTGAATTCAATGTCATTCGTTGTTTTCTTATGTCCCAACCGAGGTGCACGACTCTTACCCAAGTTAGTGGGCCACCATGGTGGCCCACTACGGGTTGGTTCATCGATACAATATGTATGTCGGTGTGTGTAAATAATGTTTTTAACTTTCAGATGTTATATAGTGTAATTTTATTCGTATTGAAGTGGTTACTTATGACAAAAGCAGCTTACGATACTAATTCAAAAGATATAACATATTGGACAACTGAAAAACCAGATATATTGTCTAAGATACGTCATATAACAGAAACAAAGGATGGAAAAACTAATGGTAATTGTTTCTTACAACTTTTTTAATATATCGCATTGATATTATTATTGTTACTAGTGGAATTGTGTAATTGACTAATATTACACTTTCTTTACAGGTCACAAACATCGTTGTAAACACTAATGGCACTGCATTTTCTGCTATGACAATTATAAGGAAGAAATATTATTATTATTATAATATTATATGATTTAATATAATAAATAAATCCTAATAATATTAAATGTTTTTAATTTTTATTACCATTATATACAGTAACACACGAGCTAAAGAAAAACAGGAAAAAAATATATTTACGAAGAAATAATTGATAAACGCTAAAAAGGAAATCGCAAAGGTAATTAATTTTATCAGTAAGTACTTTAACAAGCTCATTTACATTTTCTCGTTTCGGAACAATACTTACACATTATGTACCGCTTAATAAATATTACGTAAAAGAAATAACATCCAAACCTTAACGTTATTAAACTATGATTCTACCATTTAAGTGTAATATGGCATGGCAAAGCCAAAGTGTAAAATTGCTTGTAGCATCATTTGTAACCTTCACGTATAGTTACTACCAGGTGAAAGTTTTTGTGTTACCTAAACATTATATGGAATATTATACATTTACTACCCTTTCCTACACTTTTCTATAATAAAATGGTTCCCACCATTTAGTAAAAGGACACACTCATCAGACTGTAACCCGTTACTTCTACTTGACACATGTCCTGTACGTGGTCGTGGTATTGCACCGGTCGAGCCGCCCCATTCATGTATCAGATGTTATTGTTTCTGGCATCTGCCACTGTTAAACTAAACTTTTATATATACTGTTAGTAAGAAAATCCGACACTGTGCCGATGTATCGACGCAACACTAGTCTTATTAAAATATCAACTTTTATGTCCCTCCACTGATCTGACATGACTAAGTAACGAAAGCGCGCCATTCGCGCTAAATGATAATGTCCAAAAATTAACGTCTTAACTATAATGTATAGCCACCATCATTAGCAACAATATACAACAACGCCTGTGTGTAATGTTATAGCAATAAAAATTTATACAAAATTAGCTTTTAACTTTTTCAAGTTATTTTGCGTTAATTCAACGCTCTCATTATTATTTTTTTTTGAGTACAATAATAATGAGTTTAAACATAAACAAAAAACTTGTATCGAGTACTTGCACTGTGAATATTTTTTTTTTTTTTTTAGTGTTTATCTGCGATCAGTATTTAGTACTTTAAGCAGATGTGAAGAAAGAGTAATTTTTTAGGATATTTTCTCCATCAAGAAAATTTCTTCTTTTAGGTCAATGGGTTATTTATCATATTATGGTGGCCCTTTTAAGTCTCCTTCTGTGGCCACATTTTGGTAAGGTTGCAACAAGGGGATTATAGTGGTTTGCAATTCTTGCTTTGTAACGCTCAACGATCACCTTGAGTTCCTGCTGTACGGTGTTCACTTTTAGTACGTCATGCAGCTCTGAGTTTTTAAGGAACCAAGGGGCATTCGAAATGTTCTTAAGTATACGATTTTGCACCCTTTGGATAATGTTTAAATTTGAAGCACTTGCGGTACCCCAAACTTGTATACCATATGTCCATATTGGTTTGAGAACAGTATTGTAGAGTAGGAGCTTATTGTCCAGACTCAGAACAGACCGTCTTCCTAGGAGCCACTGGAGGTTTCGGTACTGTATATTAAGTTGATCTCTTTTCGCTAAAATGTGTGCTCTCCATGTGAGTTTTTTGTCCAGTCTAAAACTTAGATACTTGACGACGTCACTGTGTGGAAGTTCTTGATTTCCTAGTTTGACTGCTGGACAGTTTCCATGGCGCAACGTGAAGGTAACTTGGACCGATTTCGAGGCACTGGCTCTTATTCTCCATTTTTTTAACCATTTGTCCACTTCATTTAATCCACTCTGGAGCATTGCAGTAGCAGTCTTTGGGTCCTTATGACTGGCCAACACAGCCGTGTCATCCGCATATGTTGCAGTTGTTAAATTAGTGCTTACAGGGAAATCTGCGGTGTATAAAGTATATAATACTGGTCCCAGGACCGAGCCTTGCGGAACACCTGCTAGGATGTCGTGGAATGAGGAAGTACTGTCATCTTCTCTAACTTGAAATATTCTATCGGAAAGATATGATTTTAAGATTTCATAAAAGTATGTGGTAAGAATTGTTTTATTTTGCATAGTAGGCCCCTGTGCCAAACCCTATCGAATGCCTGCTGTATATCTAGAAATGCGCATGAGCAGTATTCTTTATCTTCTAGTGACTTTCTTATTATGTTGCACACTCTATGCACTTGTTCGATGGTTCCATGTTCTTGTCTGAAGCCGAACTGATGGTCTGGTATTACATGTTTTTCGTGTAGTATGGGCATCAATCTCCGGAGAAGTAGCTTTTCAAAAACTTTTGAAAGTACCGTTAGCAGACTAATCGGCCTGTAGGAAGAAACATCATTTTCAGGTTTACCTTCTTTGTGAATCATCACCACCTGCGATACTTTCCAGAGTTTGGGATAGAATTAAAGAGTGCAGTCATGTACATTATAGCTTTTTTCGGAAGCTGTATTAGAACTTCTTTAGTTATTAGATCAAACCCTGGGGCCTTTTTGTTCTTTAGTTTTTGTATCTCGTTCCAGATTTC